CCCATTTCTGAAGAAGGGTCTAGGCCCAAAACATCAGCCTTCCTGCTCCTCTGATGCTGCTTGGCCTGCTGTGTTCATCCAGCTCTACACCTTGTTATCTCAGATTCTCCAGCATCTGCAGTTCCTACCATATCTAAGTCAAAATGGATTTGGAGGGGGAAGTAAAGCACTGTATCCTGTGTGGTACCCATCTCTCCCTAAAGGCATCAAGAGCATTGATGGACACGACGTGCCCCCTCTCCAATACACTCGAGTTTGCCCCTGCACTTCCTGAATGAAATGCTTAATTATTACAACTCAGTAATGGTGTTTAGTTCAAATCAGATTTTCAGATGTCACAATTAAATGTTCAGTGTTTCAAAGTTAATTGGTTGATTGGGCTACCAATGGTCCTCAACTGAAATTCAAAAGACACTTTTCATTTGTGTTTAAATCATTCTGTTATGAATGATATTAATAAATCACAAATATTTGTTTCCAGGTTCCTTTTTGCTAACATTAACTTTTGCTCTCACAATTTGTAACCAGCTTTAATTAATTATACTAAGCAAATATATGATTTTCTTCATGCACATTTGTAAATGCTTTATTTAGGGTTTTCCCTTTGGTTTTTGCCCATCACATTTTAGGATATGCTTGAAAGAGAAAGTGTCCTGAGCCATTTCTGCCTTAATATTGGTTATAGTTCTCACTTCTGTTTTGTTACACATGAAGAAATCAAATCAAGAAAAATGTACAATTAAAATAAGTTAATAAATATATCATTAAACATCAATCCATCTAAAAATATTTAATTATATTCTTATTTGTCATAATTTTTATTTTATATAGGAAGAAAAAGAACTCAAGAACAAAATGGAAATTGTGCAAGTAATCGAAGATTGCATTGTAGACAAGATAGCATCGTAAATGTAAACTTACTTTTTACAATGTGGACACATAATTTAGGGATCTCACATCTGTTACTAGTTCAAAGCCTGGACCTATTCAGGATTCTTCTGCAATCACCAATTAAACATATTTGACAAAGTGTTGTTCATATCCACAGGCCAGATAAAGCAGACTGACTTGGCAGGAGAAGGCATAGAATCATAGACTCTCTACAGTGTGGAAACAGGCCATTTGGCCCATTTAGTCTGCACCAACCCTATGAAGAGTGTCCCACCTAGACCCACCCCCTACCCTATCCCTGAACCCTGCATTTCCCATGGCTAACCCACCTAGTCTGCACAATGTATGTGAATATAGGAGGTATGGTTAGTAAGTTGGAGGTGTAGTGGACGGCGAAGAAGGTTACTTTAGAGTACATGGGATCTTGATCAGTTGGCCCAATGCCCCGAGGAGTGGCAAATGGAGTTTAATTTAGATTAATGTGAGGTGTGGCATTTTGGAAAGGCAAATCAGGGCAGGACTTATATACTTAATGGTAAGATACTGGGGAGTATTAGTAAACAGAGAGATCTTGGAGTGCAGGTTCATATTCCCTTGAAAGTGGAGTCATAGGTGGACAGGATAGTGAAGAAGGCGTTTGGTATGCTTGCCTTTCTTGGTCAGTGCATTGAGTATAGGAGTTGGAAGGTCATGTTGTGGCAGTTCAGGACATTGGTTGGGCCACTATTGGAGTATTGCGTGCAATTCTGGTCTCCCTGCTACAGAAAGGATTTTGTGAAATTTGAAAGGGTTCAGAAAAGATTTACAAGGATGTTGCCAGGGTTGGAGGGTTTGAGCTACAGGGAGAGGCTGAATAGGCTGGGGCTAATTTCTCTGGAGCTTCAAAGGCTGAGGGGTGACCTTATAGAGGTTTATAAAATCACGAAGGGCATGGTTAGGGTAAATAGACAAGGTCTTTTCCCTGGGGTGGGGGAGCCCAAAACTAGGGGGCATAGGTTTAGGGTGAGAGGGGAAAGATTTAACAGGGACCTAAGGAGCAATTTTTACACATAGATGGTGGTGGATGTACAGAATGTGCTGCCAGAGGAAGTGGTGGAGGCTGGTACAATTACAACATTTAAAAGGCATTTGGATGAGTATATGAATAGGAAGGGTTTACAGGGATATGGGCCAAATGGGACTTGATTAATCTAAGATATCTGGTTGGCATGTACGAGTTGGACCAAAGCGTCTCTTTCCATGCTGTACGTTTCTATGACTCTATACCTGGGCACTATAGCATTGCCAATCCACCTAATTTGCACATCTTTCAACTGTGGGAGGAAACTGGAATACCTAGGGGAAACCTATACAGCCATGGGGAGAATGTGCAAACTCCACACAGATAGCCACCCAAGGTTGGAATTGAACCCAGGTCCCTAGCACTTTGAGGCAGCAGTACTAACCACTGAACCACCGTGCTGCCCTAAGCCAATGGTGGATAGCCAAGCCTTTGACAAATTAAAGTTTATGGAGGGCGGAGGATCGGAGCCTAGCCAGGAAAACATAGGAATAGTTTTCAGCAGATGACCAGAAGGAACTGACGCCAGGGGTTTGCCAACAGGAGCTGACACTGAAAGGATACAATAAAGACATGTAAGAATAATGTAGGTGAGAAGAATTCAAACATTTCTAGTTATAGATCTTTGCAATTACTGGGGAATGGGAGCTGAAGCTATATAAGACCCAACTCCGATTGGTTTGACGGTACTAATTTTGAATGTCACAGTTGCCATGGTATAAGCCATTTGCTCACTGAAATGGTTGTTAATGTGTCAAAATATTTTTTAAAATTAACAAATTGAAGTTGCACCTCTGTCTGCTTGGCTCAGTTGGAGAACTCTCTCACTACAAACTTTTTTATTTACTGAGAAATTCAGGTGAAGGTAAAACCCCAATAGTGATAAGAGTAGCAAAGTAGAAATGTAAGGGATAAAGTGAGATAAAAAGAGTAACAGGCCCAGGTTTTCAAAGTCTGCAGTTAGTATAAGGGATGGGCGCTCAAGCAATTGAGAACAGAAAATATAAATGCGTTTGTATGTCTTTCCCATTTTTCAGGATGAGAGCAGTGGGAATAATATATATTATGCAGAACTGCAACTGGAAAACTTACAGCAGAAAGTAAGGAAAAAGGAAGAGAAGATTGTCTACAGTTCAGTACTTTACTTAAATTCTGGTGAATAGGACATGCAGGAAATATTGACATGGATCATTGTTTATCTTGTTTAAGCTTTTTCAATTGGAATTTGAAATAAATAAGGCAAAGATTTTGCTACTGGCATACATCATTGAGATGAAACAGAGAAGATTTGCTTTTTAGAGTACTGAATGTTTTTTGAAACATGCATACTTTTAACTGCTAAAAAGTGCAGAAAAAGTCTTAAGGAGGTGGTGGCATAGTGGTAATGTCACTAGACTAGCAATCTGGAGGTCTATGCTATTGCTTTAGGGACACGGGTTTGAAATCCACCACGACAAATGAAATTTGAATTTAGTTTTAATAAACGTGATATTAAAACAACTATTCCAGTGGCAACCATGAAACCATTGCCAATTGTTGTAAAAATAATTGTGGCTCATTAGGGAAGGAAATCTATCATTTTTATCTATTTTCGCCTACACGTGATTCATAAATGCTTTCTGAAATACGCTAGCAAGCTATTCAGCTGTTTCAAACTGCTACAAAGTCTAAAACAAGCATGTGGGAAGCAATTGCCCCTTATAGCCCAGAGACTATAATACTTGGTCTAAAACAATCCTTTCCCTTTTTTGGTACACAATCAAAAATAATGAAAAATAAAAAGAAATTGTCCTTGCACAAGATGTGCCGCAGCAGCGCACCAAGACCTTTCCAATAGCACCTTCCAAACTTGTGATTTCTGCCACCTAGAATGACAAGGGCAGGAATTACATGGGGTCACCAAACCCGAGTTTCCCTCCACTATCCTGGCTTGGAACTCTATCACTGTTCCTTCACTGACACAAAGTCAAAATCCTGGAACTCAGCTTTATAGGTGTACGTACACCACAAGGACTGCAGCAGTTCAATAAGGCTGACACCACCTTGGGCAATAACTGCTGACCTAGCTAACAACACCCAAATCGCATGAACAAATAAAAATATTCAAAAAATTTCTTCACCATCATTCTTTCAGTTTATTTCACTTGTTCCATCTTGAAGTTGGGCAGCTGTGTGTCATATTTATACATTGATGTATTCATGCCTTTATGCTTGGTGTAATGATGTATGTAAACACATTTCTGTATACACTATGTGCTATTTGCATTGCTCTATTTGCATTTGAGTGTTGCATATATGTGCATCTTCTCTACCTAGTTGTGTGTTTTCATACTGTTTATGCGCTCTGTGTATATTTATATTTGAGTATTTCCTACAAAAACATGTGTTCTCCTTGGCAATGCCTCTACCAATTAGAGTCCACTTGCTAACCAATCAGCACTCTCCTCATGCAATTGGTTTTCCTCTGGGATTGGTATTCTTGTGAATTGTTCTGACAAGTGCAAGAGAAAAATTTTAGTCAAAATGTATCTCTTTCCAGCAGGGCTCAAGTTCTGTTTGACCAAGTGACTCTATTTATACTTTTATGTATGCATTGTATTCAGTATGTGGTGTGCAATTTTGTTCTCAGTATGCAATGTGCATGTTTACGTGCACACAGCGTACGTGTTTGTACTTGGGTTTTAGTCAGTTTCTATTCAGCTGTTTCTTTCGCAAATTTTAAAAATGTGATTAAAATTCAATTAAATTTTTTACAAAACGGATTTAAAGCAGGAGTTTTGCCTTGTGAGGACACAGGAACTGAGCCAAGTCAGAGACATAATTTCACATTACTAGCCAGTTTGCTGGCATCGTCCCATCTCCAAACCATTTTTGGGACACCCATGTTGGTAGCAGAACAGCTATCTGCAACGAACAGCACATATCTTGATAAGCTAATTAACAGGCAAATTAGGCCCCTAATTAGAGGCCAACTGGGACTATCCAGTCAGGCTGCAGGCCCCTTGTGGTATTGGGAGTATAAGAGCTAACTGATGGTAACGTTCTCGACAATATTGGGTGGAAACCCACATTTAATGTAATCATCAGGCTCCTGACTCAAAATGGAAAATTTTTTTTTTAGATCATTCATATCTGTGGGCATCGCTGGGTGACCAGCACTTATTGCCCATCCCTATACTTGCCCTTGAGAAGGTGGTGGTGAACTGCATTCTTGAACCGCTGCAGTCCATTTGGTGAAGGTAGACCCACCATACCAATAGGGAAAGAATTGCAAGATTTTGAGCCAGAGACAGGTAAGAAACTGCAATATATTTCCAAGTCAGGATGGTGAGTGGCTTAGAGCAGAACTTGCAGGTGGTGGTGTTCCCATGTGTCTACTGCCATTGTCCTTATATGCAGTAGCGGTCATTGGTTTGAAAGATGCTGTTTTGCTGATTTTCTGCAGTCTATCGTGTTCTTGGTACACACTGCAAAACCTGAACATTGATGTTGGATGTTTCTGTATGTAGTGCCAATCAAGTGGGGTATGTTTTGACCCAGATCGTGTCAAACTTCTTGAGTGCTGTTGGAGTTGCTTTGAAGAGTCAGGCATCATGGCTGATGGACATGGACAGCTTCAGTATGTAAGGAGTCACAAATGGTGCTGAACATTGTGCTACCATTGGCAAATACTATTGATCTTCTGATACAGAGAAGTCATTGATGAAGCAGCTGAAGATGGTTGGGCCCAGGACATTACCCTACTGAACTCCTGCAGAGATGTCCCAGAGCAGAGATGACTGATCTTCAACAACAGCAACCATCTTCCTTTGTTTGTTAGGTATGACTCAAACCAGCAAAGTTTTCCCCTGATTCCCATTGACTCCAAGATGCCATGTTCAGTCAAGTGCAGCTCTTACATCGCCTCTGGAATTTAGCTTTACTATCCATGTTTAAACCAACACTGTAATGAGGTCAGGAGCTCAGTGGCCCTTGCACAATCCAAACTGAGTGCCAATGAGCAGCAGCTATTTGATAGAACTGTTGATGAAATCTTTCATCATTTTATTGACAATCAAGAATAAACTAAGTGGTTGGGTCGGACTGCTCCTGCCTTTTGTATATGGGACATAACTGGGCAATTTTCTACATTATTGAGTAGATGTCACTGTTGTAGTTGGACTGGAATAGCATGGCTAGGGGAACGGGAAGCTCTAGAGCACATCAGCAGTAGTATTACCAGGAAGTTGTCAAGGCCCATAGCCTTCCCAGTATCCAGTGCCTCCAAACATTATTTGATATCACACAGATTGAATTGAATTGGCTTAAGACTGGCATCTGGAGGAAGCCAAGATGGATCATCCATGCAGAATTCACTGAAGATAGATGCAGAATTCACTGAAGATAGTTGCAAATGGTTCAGCCTTACACTCCCATGGCTCTCCCATCATTGAAGATGGGAATATTTGTGCAGCTTTATACTGTAATCATTTGTTTAATTGTCCATGTCTGGATGTAGCAGGACTACAGAGCTTAGATCTGACCCATTAGTTGTGGAATCAGTTAGCTCTGTCTATCACTTGCTGAAATGTTGTTTGGCATTCAAGTCCTGTTTTGTAGCTTCGCCAGGTTGACACCTCATCTTTTAAGAATGCCTGCTGCTACTCCTGGAAGCCCTCTTGCACTTGCCATTGAACCACGGTTGATCCCTTGGCTTGTTGGTAATGGTTGACTCAGGGAGATGCTGGGCTATGAGGTTACAGATTCTGCTGGATGCCCAGTCTTGAGTTACTTGATTTGTTTGAAGTCTGTCCCATTTAGCATGATGATTGTGTCATACAACACAATATAAGGTATTCCAATTGTGATAGTGGAACTTCGTCTCCACAAGGACTTTGCAGTGGTCACTGTTACAGTTAAGAATCAACCACATTGCTCTGGGTCTGGAGTCACATGTCAGCCAGATCAGGTAAGGACAGCAATTTCTCAAAGGAAGAAATTTTCCTAAAGGGCAGATGGCTTTTTCCCCAACAATGGTCATCATTAGACTCTTAATTTCAGGTTTTTATCAATTCAATTTCAACCATCTGCTGCAGCAGGATTTGAACCCAGGTCCCCAGAACATTTATCTGAGTCTCGGAATTAAAAGCCTTGTTTGTTTTTTTCTCACATATAGAACCTTACATTATCGATTAATGTGTTGGTAGTCTCCAGCAGTCTAATTCACTCTGTAGACCTAATTTAAGTGTTCTCATGCACATCTTGATCAGAAAAGTTGACGAGTTACTTTCAATTGGACAGTAAATCAAATTTTCCACTGCTTATTTTGGTATTGAAACACTTGTCAGAGTGATAACAGTGACCAGTCTTCAGGGCTGTAAAGTGCTTTGGGACATTCTGATGTGTGAAAGGTGCATATAAAATTTCTTTAAAGGGCACAGATGAAGCGGGTATAATAATCAGTTTCTTTGGAAAAATAGAAAATTTATAGGAGGAAGCTATTCGGCCCATCATGTCTGTGCTAAGCTGAAAAGAATTTTCAATAAAAACCAAAAGGACTGTGGATGCTTCAGGACAAACAAAAATTACTGGAAAAGCTCAGCAGGTCTGTCAGCATCTGTGAAGAGAAATCAGAGGTAACGTTTGGGTCTGATGACCCTTCCTATGGTCACTGACATCATTTCATCTGGTGATTTCCCCCCTCACCACTGCCTCCATGCTGATAGTCACCCATCCCTGCACAGCTCGCTTCTACCTCCTTCTGAAAATTCACAAACAGGGCTGCCTGGGCAGACCGATTGTTACAGCCTGCTCCTGCCCCACAGAACTCATCTCTTCCTACATTGACTTGGTCTTTTCCCCCCTAGTCCAGTCCTTGCCCACTTACATCCGCGATTCCTCTGACGCTTTACAACAGTTTCAGAATTTCCAGTTTGCAGGCTCCAGCTGCCGCTTCTTTACCATGGGCATGCAATCCCTTTATATGTCCATCCCCCAACCAGGATGGTCTTAGGGCTCTCCATTTCTTCCTGGAGCAAAGGCCTGAACCTTCCCAAGCATCACCACCCTCCTCCGCTTGGCTGAACTCATCCTCATGTTCAATAACTGCTCTCAACTCCTTTCATTTTCTTCAGGTCAGAGGGCTGGCCATGGGTACTTGCATGGGCCCCAGTTATGCCAGTCTCTTCGTGGGATACGTGGAGCATTCCTTCTTCCAGTCCTATTCTGACCCCCAACCACAACACTTTCTCTGATA